GGGTGAACTTTGGAGTCCTGGTGGCAGCCTGGCTCCCAGGCAGCCGGTGCCGGGAGAAGATGGGTCCTGGTTCCTAAGCATCAAACCAGACAAACGAGGACTGAGTGTGGTTAGTGACGGGACTAATGAATTAATGATAAAACATTCATTGAAGCTCTACTATGCACAGCCTCGTTCTAGAGGCTGGAGTGCAGGAGTGCTTTCCTGGAATTCTGGTTGGGGAAGCAGACATGACACTCACAGGATTTTTGGCCTGTTTGAAAAAGGATACCACAAGTGTGTGTTTTGGACCTGAAAGTTTTGCATCTTTGAAAATCTACTTTAAAAAAATGCATGTTGGTACTCTGCCCCAGTTGCCTTTAGCATCCATCAACCCTAAACTCTTCTGTGTGTGTTATAAATTCTGTCCCTGGGCTTGAGATTCCCTGAGATTCCCTTCAGTAATGGCCCGGGGCTCTGCTGGGTCGAGCACTGCACAGCCATCCTCTGTGCCCCTGTCAGCAGGCCTGCAGGTCAGGCCCACTGTCAGCCCATTCCAGACGAGGAAAGAGGTTCTGGAAGGGTTAATGGCCAGTTGAGGCTTACACAGCTAGTAAGTGGGGGGACAGTCCGGCTCCAAGGCCAACATTCTGGATTTCTAAGTGGACTTGGCCCTAGTCCCCGTACTGTCCCGTTACATGGGGCCAGATGGGCCGCATATTGATCCGTTTTACATGCGTCAGCACCAGCTCTTCGCCTGCGCATGTGGAGCTTGAGGGACGGGGAGATGAAGGGATGGACCCTGTCATCGAGGAGCTCACGCTCTCTAAACCGGGCACCAGTAAACGCTGTTGATTCTTTTCCAGGAAAATACCAGGCCCGGATCCTTTCAGAGAGCCTTCTCACACCTGCAGAGTACCAGGAGGAAGTCCATTATGAGCTGGTTACCGGGAAAGTGGACTCCCTGGGGGCCTTCTTCAGTACTCTTTGTCCAGGTAGGCTTGGCATGAGGCAGGTGCAAGTGTGTACATTGCTAGGACAGAAACAGACGCAGAGGAGGTTGCCTGCCTGCGCTGCGGAGGCTGGCCGTGTTTCCTGCGCAGAGCGCCCTGCTCCCTCATACTGGGCATTAGCACCCACGCCCTTTCTCCTCACATGCACGATGTGGTTGCTGGCTGGCCTGCTCTTCCTGCTTGGCTGTAGTGTTCTTCTGGGGCATGGGGCTCTGTGGTTTCCTTCTTGCACACAAGCCTCTTATGTCCCTTGCCCTCAACCTCGCCGGCCACACTCCCTCCCTGCCCCTCGAGATGAGTCTCGAATCCTCTGGGATGGGCTTGCAGCCCTTCCTCTCTGGCCCGGAGCCCCTGCGTGTTGGGGTATAACCTGCTGTTAGCAGCAGGTCTGCATCCTGGCCAGGCAGCAACTCCTTGGCAAGACAGGCCATGTTGCCTCTCTCTCCATTATCCCAGGCCTCAGGGCAGTGCCAGGCACATAGCAGCTTCCCACAGATGTTTGCTGAATTTTGCCAAGACAGGAAACCCATTTCTGTTTGTTCTGTTTTGGGCAGAGGGTGACATTGACATTTTGCTGGACAAATTTCACCAGGAAAATCAAGGCCATATTTCGTCTTCAGTCACTGCTACCTCCGTCACTAAGGCAGCTTCCCTGGATGTCAACGGGCCACCAGTGTGCACAAGTAAGAGCGGGCACTGGGCACAGGGAGCGAGATGGTCGGGCCCAGGTGTGCATAGGGAGCGAGCTGGCCGGGCCCAGGTGTGCATGTGCTGAGCATGCCGGGCAGTGGGCACAGGTGTGCACAGTGAGTTACAAGGGGTGGTGAGTGTAGGTCTGTACAGGTGGGGCTACATCCCAGAGCCTCTAGGTGCTTTTCTGAACAGTGCTGGAGACACTTTAATTTGCATTCCACCCTCAGAAGGCGGGGCGTCTCCTTAGCATCAGCCTGATGTTCCTGCTCTCGAATCAGGTCTTCAGCAGCAGTGCTGTCTTGGTCCTGAAACATGCGTCTGTCTGCTGTTCTCAAGATGGTTCAGTTCTCTGTGCTGACCTCTTGCTTGCAAATGCATTGTTGATTTTTTAAAGAGTTTTTTTTTTTTGCTTTAGGGCATGTCCACTCACTGGAGAGAGAGACAGTAGATGGAAAAGTGAGAAATCACCCCCCATGGGCGATGGCCACACCACAATCACTTCTGCTGGGATCTTGGGCATGTATGCACATGTACCCAGCACGGTTTCCAAGCCCCTGGCCTGGGATTCCAACCGTGGTGGGCCATGTGGGAGTCCATTGACAGAACCACTACGCCACCTTCTGGCACCGTCGTGGAAATTTTTACTCATACAAAATCCCTGCAGAGCTGTGATGGTTTCCTTGCCTTCTGGAGAACTCATAGCCATCTGGTGACGTTTCCTCCCAGAGTCACCTGGGGGGTGCTGTCCTTGTCCCCTACTTTCTCTGTGTTCTCCGAGGGCTCACCCTTTGATTACTGAGTGGAGAAAGGTGTGTAAGTGCCGAGAGCAGGCACGTCATAATGTGAGCCCTCTCCTCCTGGGCTTTGTGCCTGGGTTGGTTCCCCCAGGCTGGGCCGTCCGATTCCCTAGCTGAGTACTCTGTTGGCTCACCTGGCGTCCATCTGGGGCTCTGGTTCCAGGTTACAGCCTGGAGCCACATGGCATCCGGCCCTTCCAGCTGGCAGTGGCCCAGAAGCTCCTCTCCCATGTGTGCTCGATTGCGGATTCCAGCACCCAAAACCTGGACTTGGGATCATTCGAGAAGGTGGACTTTCTCATTTGCATTCCACCCTCAGAAGTGGCTTACCAGCAGACTCTGTTCCGCGTCTGGCATTCAGGTATGGGACCTTCAGGGGACAGGTTCCGAGGCCTGCACGGGGAGCCCTTGTCTCCCTAGATTCGTGTTGGATGTTCTCACCATCTTTTGCTCTAGGGTGGGTGTGACAGGCCTGATTATCCTTGTTTTATAGATTGTGAAACTGATGCTTAGAGACAGTGACTTGTCCAAGATTTGAGATCCTCTTAAAGGTGCAACCAAGACTTGAGCTTTTGCTGTGTCCATTGAGGCCAGCAAACCAATTCCGTGTTGATCTGGCGTCCACTTCACGTTTTCCCTGTGCTTTCAGGGACATTGTGGTTAAATGAGAAGTCCACCTGGAGTCAGTTTCTTAACTCAGAGGAGTCACTCTTCAGGGGTGTGAGTAAGGACCTGTAGCAGCAGGCTGAGGTGACCCTGCAGGGTGGGCCTCTTTTCCTTCCCTCTGTCCCTGGGCCGGCATCAGCTGCTTCAGGAAGCTAGGTGGGCTGCTGCCCCTGCTCTCCAGCCTGGCCATCCCTGTTGCCTCAGGGTTGAGCCCAGTGCGTCCCTCCTAGGACCGCGGAGTGACTGAACCTGTCACTGAGCAACTAATGTGTTTCCACGGTGTTGCAGGGGTTTTGCTGGAGCTGGGCCTGGAAAAGGAGCATATGACCAAGCAGAGGGTGGAACAGTATGTTTTGAAGCTAGACACGGAGGCACAGACAAAATTTAAGGTCTTTCTGCAAAACTCCTTCCAGAATCCACATACGCTCTTTGTCCTAATCCACGACCATGCCCACTGGGATCTTGTCAGGTGAGAGCAACTGGTGTGGGGCGGGTTGACATTCTCCTCCTTTGTAATGATTTGTACAGAAGGTCCTTGGGGTTGAGAGGACGAGTCTTGGAACGATGGATGGTGTGGGGGGCATGGCATTTGACAGCAGATGCTATGGTTGCTGTCTGGATCTTCGAGCGGATGCCGTCTCTGGGATTACCCCGTATGACCCTGAAGTTTACCACGTGGAAGCCAAGGGCTGGAGAAGGGCTGCCTCTCACTTGAAATCCAGGCTGGGATGCGGGTGTGAGTCAGCCTGGCCTGAGCCAGGACCCCTGAGTCCCAACCTGGTCTGATGCCTCTGTAGCCTTATCAGTACCCACGGGCTGTGCGGGGGCACAGAGAGGGTCCTGACCGCAGCTCGGCCCCTCCCAGGTGGAGGCTCCTGTGGGCCCCAGTACTGTGGGTCACTCCAGGTGCCCACCCTTCTTCAGGAGCAATTTTACTTAACTAAAAATGGACGTAACCTACGAGAATGTCAGACAGGGCTAAGCCATTTAGACATTGTCTCAGATGTAGATGAGGAGGAAGGTGCTCGTGGGCCAGGTCACAGCAAGGCTTGGTTATCGGATGCATTGACCTTTGCGGCTGGCCACAGCCAGTTGGAGCTCCTCGAGGGCGTATGGTCTAGGTCTGTGTATAAGCCCCGGGGAATCGGAACAATCTGGAATTATAGAACAAGTTGTATCATGAGGAATTATTTGGGAGATAAATTCCTCAGAACGGGTTCCTGCCACCCAGAAGGTCAAACACTGACTTTTTCTGTCTCCTAGATTCACAGAGCAGAACGATGAAGCCCTTGTCTTATGCAAAGGCTGATGTGGGCCTGTCTGCTAGGCTCCTCGTCCACAATGCTTCCTATTCCTTTCCTGTTGCCTTTTAGATTTTGTATACCGTTTACATTTTATGTCCTGTTTGGATCATTTCAAAGTCAATGGGATTTAAAAGAGAGATTCTTACATAGTCAGATTGAGCCAAAGGAGAAAATGCAATTCATTGAACACTTCTGGGTACGAGTCCTGTCCTAGAGGAGTCCATGGATCGCATGTCCTGCAAGAAATCCTCGGAATACTATTCCACAGCCCCCTTTCTATTTGCCAGAGGACATGTGTACTCCCCAGAGAGACAGGGAGAGAGAGAGAGAGCACCCCCAATGGGACATGGTCGTACTGTAATCCCTTCTCCATCCCTCCAACCTGTAGGGATTTGGGGCATTTGCACATACACCTGGTGTGTTGTTCAAGTCACTGGGTCCAGGATTAGAACCACACCGTTGGCCATGTGAGATCTGGTTCCCTTAACCACTAGGCCATGGAGCTGGACAGCCCCCTTTCTATTTGCCAGAGGACATGTGTACTCCCCAGAGAGACAGGGAGAGAGAGAGAGAGCACCCCCAATGGGACATGGTCGTACTGTAATCCCTTCTCCATCCCTCCAACCTGTAGGGATTTGGGGCATTTGCACATACACCTGGTGTGTTGTTCAAGTCACTGGGTCCAGGATTAGAACCACACCGTTGGCCATGTGAGATCTGGTTCCCTTAACCACTAGGCCATGGAGCTGGCCTCATAAGTCATGAGTGTAGGGAGTCTCTGGCAGGTACCTAAGGTCCAGTCATTATTTTCTTTGCTTAGTCATGGTGGAGCCATATTCCCTTCTTAGCAGTGTGTGGGGGTAGGCACGGGTGATATGGACAGTCTTAGTAGTTTCATGCATTGTCTCTTCTCCTTCCTCAGTAGCGCGGTTCATAATCTCTATTCTCAAAGTGACCCATCTGTGGGACTGGTGGACAGATTGCTCAACTGCAGGGAGGTGAAGGAGGCCCCCAACATCGTGACTCTTCACGTGACTTCCTTCCCGTATGCGCTGCAGACACAGCACACCCTCATCAGCCCCTACAACGAGATCCACTGGCCCGCCTCCTACAGTAACGTGAGTGCCTCTGGGCGGCGGGCTTGGTATGGGGAAATTGCATTTAGCTAAAACCTTGAGGATGGGTGGCTCAACCCCTTGGACCATTCATTGATGGGACTCAGGACTAGATTTTTTTTTTTTTTAAAGAATTATTGAATTTTATTTATCATCGTTTTTAAAAATTTGCTACAGGGCATGTGCATTCACCAAAGAGAGATGGAGAGACAGAGAGGGAGATAGAGAAAGTGAGAAAGCAAGCCACCAGGTCCAGGACTTGAACTGTGGTCAGCCATGTAGGAGTCCAGCACCTTAACCACCACATCACCTGTTTGGGCTCCCAGGTTTAGATTTAAACCCTTCTTGGTCTTTTTGGAAACTTCCCTGCAGGGGCATCAGTTGGCTTCTCTGTCTCAGGACATGGAACGAGGACAGTTGGCTTGACAGGTTGTCCAGGGACAGAAGGTCCTTGGGCCTCTGAATATTTGTTCTCGTGGTGTCAGAGAAGGATGCTGAAGATAGAGCCCGAGTGCTGTAGGTGCTCACGGAGTGGTCGGGAGTGAATCTAGGAGCCTTTAACATGTTCCTGTTCCTTCTAATCCCGCATCCACAAGCAGCAAGGTTCAGGAGCTCCTTTTGCAAATCGAACACACATCCTCAAACCGTGGAGAGTTGTTAGTTTATCGCCTGCCAGTTTTTCATCCGAATAGCAGACCAAGCCCTTTGCTCTCCACCCACCGAGGGAAGAAGCTATGAGATGCCATCCAAGGGCCCGCAGCATCTGCACAAGTTAGAGGGAGACGCCAGGTCATCGCCAGCCCAGCCCCGGGACCTCCGACCATCCTGCCTACGCAGCGTTTGGGTGGCTGACGCGCTTCTCTGTTGTAGGGAGTGGACTTATACCACGAAAGTAAGAAGTACTTTGGGCTGTCAGAGTTCATCGAGGCCACACAGTCCGGACACAGCCTCCCCTTGCTCAGATATGACAGCTCCTTTGAGGCCATGGTCACCGCGTTAGGAAAGAGGTACGTGTCTCTCTTCAGAGTTGTTCCCAGTGCTGTCCAGTCAGAAGTGCATGTTGAGGTCCCTGCAGTCAGCCAGGGGATGTCAGGAAGGGACTCTTCCTCCCTTTCTTCCTGGGGACTCAGCCTCTCCATAGGGGATCTTGGTTTATTCTGTGTGTTTGCATCACTTTGGGCCAGTGGTACATGTCATGCTGCTCCAGAAAACTGTAGAGATGAACATGGCAGACTATGCTGTATGTTTGTAAGTCAATAGGAAGCAGAAAAGGGAAGGTGAAATACCAAAGTTTAAAGGAAGTGAGGGTGATGATTGTGATCGGCTTCATCTTTATTTCCTCTGCACATCATCTGTTGAGTACCTCGTTTGTGCCGGTCACTATTCCCAGAACCTTACTTTCTAGTGCTTTTTCGTTTAATGAAAGCAAGAAAGTACCCCCCGCCCCACATTTCCCAGTGGGACCTGGAATACTTTTCCTTCGGTTTTCTATTCCATCAGGATCCTGGTATATATAAAGATGCCTGGTGTGTTTTTCAAGCTGCGGGGCCCAGGACTCAAACCCTGGCTAGCTATGTGGAATCCATTTTCTTCCATGCAGCTCTTAACTGCGGTGCTACAGGGCCAGTGCAAGAAACTTCTCTGCACCAGTTGCTATCCCATCTTGCAAATGAAGAGACTGGCTCAGAGAGACCCCAGAACTTTCTCAGGCCACAGGTCTAGCAACTGACAGAAGTGGGTAAAAACCCAGAGTCAGTCTGACTCCACAGTCAGCCTTTTTGCCAAGGTCCTAATAGACCTCCCTTTGCTGATGAGGAAACTGAGTTCCAGAGAGGCTGAGCGATTGCCCACACCCATGCAGTCTACATGTTGTAGAGCTCGGCCACATTACGGACCGGCTAAGCCCTCGTGAGTGGCTCTGCCCCTGACCTCAGTGCACTCCGTTCTTCTCACTTCTCATTAAATTAGGCATGCCTTTTTTTTTTTTTTTTGAGAGGTTTTTGCTAAAGGGTGCATACGCTCACCAGAAAGATAGAGACAGAGACAGAAAGCGAGAAATCACCCCTTAGGAGGGATGGCCACGCCACAATCCCTTCACCATTCTCCTCTTGGAATCTTGGGCACGCACACACATGTGCCTGGTGTGAGTTTAAGCCACTGGGTCTGGGACTCGACCAACGGTTGACTAGATGGGAGTCCAGCAACATAGCCATTACTCCAACGGCTGGTCCCTAGACATGCCTTTCTAGAACTGTGTTCTAAGGTATCCTGCTTTGGTTTGGATACTAATAGCTATTAAGCAAAAAGGGATTCCATGGTTGAATATATTTGAGAAACATTTCTTTCCGTAGTAGAATTTCTTTTTCCCTAGAGTTCACAGAGCCATCCATGTGCCCATGCATGCTGTGGTCTCCAAGGGACAAGAGAGGTCCAGCATCTGTTGGCATCAGTGGTCTCCACAACACCCTCTGAGAACCAAGGTCCTGTTTGCTTCTGAGGCGCTGGTGGAGATTGATCGGGCCAGTCTCCAGCTTGCCTGGGTTGGCAGCTGAGCTCCTTCAAACTTGCTGAGTGCAGGAGAGCTTGAGATTTTGCCGTGAGGCTACAGGAACTGCTCTGCCCTTCTCTGCCCGCCCCAGCTCCTCCCTCATGCAGCCAATGTGGACTGAGGGCTTAGTGTGTTGCAGACACTGGGAGTAGTCCTCTGTTGGCTACCTGAGACAGTTCTCCCAACAGTGGGTGAGATAAGAGACATTGTTCTCTCCATTTTGCAGATGAAGAAACTGAGGCTTACCTAAGGTTACACGGGATTTATAGTAAAACTGGACAGAAATTCAGGTCACTGGGTCCCAAACCACATGACCATTAAGCCAGACTGACCAGTAGAAGGCCAGGCTGTGACCTCTGTACCGGTGCATCCTGGCTCCACCCTTCATTAGCCTTAAACTGGGCAGATCATTCAACCTGTCCAAACTCTGCATCTTCACCTGCAGAGCAAATCCACTTTCCTTGTGGCTTCTTATGGCAGTTTCAAGAGAGAGA